ATTATAGGTTTCTGGCATGCCCAAGGGACGCAACTCTGCACAGCGAATCGCGTCGCCGTAGACGACTGGGCCACCCGTGCCCCGGCTTGGACCGGATGTATCATCAGTTCATGATGGGATTTAAACCTGAAAGTATATTCACTTGAACAGATAGTTTCTGTACTCCAAAGTGAACCGTATTGTACTTCTTCTGTCGGTGAAAAATGTTCATGTTTCGTCAGTCGACAACTTCTATTTGTCCGGGATACAATATCTGGTACAGAAACAATATGGAATCCTAGAAGGGACATAATTGTTTTGTCGCATAGTCGCGCTTTGGTTAATTTTGACTCTTTTTGTTTGTTTTTGTTTGTAAGGGCGACAACGCGACAATGTTCCTTCAAGGATTCCATAGAAACTTCTCCAATAATTCAGTTCTTGATAGTAGAACATATTATCGAGACCGCCTCCGTGGCCTAGTGGTAGAGCGTCCGCCCGCCGCGCATACCAAAATACGTCAAAAGATGGTTCTTGTTGTTACCCTGCCTGGCGCTTGGCATTAAGGGGCTAAAACAAGGTCTGGTTGGCTCTGAGTATACTGTATATCTGAGTGTGGTATTCATGTTAAACAGCGAAATGGTAGCTCAACGGGCTAGCACTATAAAATCGGCACTAGTCTGGACTAGTACAAACAGACAAGCGACGTTAAACTCCATTTCATCATACCTCATAAAGACCATTAACATACATGTTGACCCAAAAGTGATTACTATGATGTGTGACAAGCGACAAGCTAATTATTTGAGTAGTACCACTCCAGGCGTATTTTAAGTTTGTTCTCTTTCTTTATAATAAACCAAGTCATATTAGTGCCGAAATGCTTAAACAAATAACAGATGGTATCAGTTTGATGGAAGTATATACCAGGTGCCCCAGGCCAGCCATCTCTAGTGGGAGGCTCAATGTGCCATCATATAGACGGCAATAAGGACGATATGGTTTGGATGTTCAATGTTGGTTTAATGACACACTGACCCACCCCGCCAATTACCCAACTTGCTTACCCCGGTCGTACCAGGCCCCGCCCCGCTAACACCAACATTCCTTGCATTCAGTCACATACCTCAGGTTGTCTGTTTTTACTTCATTGTTATATTCTTTTTATGGTAACACAGGTTCGCTTGCTTGTGGCTATTAAGTGTTGATGATATCCATTGTCACTCAAGATGTTTTCATTGATTAGGAATATATGGCACGCCGCCGGTGAGATATCCCATCTACAGAGCGCAGTGTAAATGGACGTCTCGATGTGTTATGTATTCAGAGATGAAATACTTCATTTATTCAAAATATAAAAGGGATCGTTCGAGTGATATGACACAGTTACTTTCATTTTCCGGAAATCCGCCTCATCAAAATATGGAGTGAAACAACAAGTATATTCTTTTGCTGTGACGCGGCGACCATGTCCGGTCTAAAACACAGATCCGATATAAAATCATGAAGATCACTAAGAAAATACAGAATGAATGCAACATTGTTCTTGTCAATTCATGTTTTTCTTATATAATGCAGTGTGAAAGACTGAGTTTTTTTAAGTTGAGAAAAGGGATGTTTATTTATCCCTTGTTGATTCCGAGTTTCTAGTAACGATTTGATATCTTAGCACACGGGGCGGTGTATAAACATTAAATCATTATGATGACGTCACAATTATGATGATCCTGAATCAGGAATCTCTGGCCATTCTGAACGTGCACTTTAAACAAGTAAAACTGACGCAGCTATAGGTCATTATGCATTTATGCAATTAAAGAGAAATAATTATTATGTATCAACTTTAACACTCGATTTACAAATTCTCATATTTCATAAGGTGAAACATTCCTACATGACAATAAGGATTTATTTTCTTAATCATGTTTTTCAGACTCAAAAAGAGCCACGGAAGTATTTCCTTTTTGTTCAATCCCACTGTACAGTCAGCCTAAACTAAACTGTTTGAACTAAACTGGCTTCTTATTGGCCCGTGTTTGAACTAAACTGGCCTGTTATGGGCCCGTGTTTGAACTAAACTGGCTTATTGTGGGTCCGTGTTTGAACTGAACTGGCTTGCTGTGGGTCCATGTTTGAACTAAACCTGCTTGTTGTGGGTCCGTGTTTGAACTAAACTGGCTTGTTGTGGGTCCATGTTTGAACTAAACCTGCATGTTGTGGGTCCATGTTTGAACTAAACCTGCTTTTTGTGGGTCCGTGTTTGAACTAAACTGGCTTGTTGTGGGTCCATGTTTGAACTAAACCTGCTTGTTGTGGGTCCGTGTTTGAACTAAACCTGCTTGTTGTGGGTCTATGTTTGAACTAAACTGGCCTGTTATGGGCCCGTGTTTGAACTAAACCTGCTTGTTGTGGGTCCGTGTTTGAACTAAACCTGCTTGTTGTGGGTCCATGTTTGAAATAAACCTGCTTGTTATGGGTCCGTGTTTGAACTAAACCTACTTGTTGTGGGTCCGTGTTTGAACTAAACCTGCTTGTTGTGGGTCCATGTTTGAACTAAACTGGCTTGTTATGGGCCCGTGTTTGAACTAAACTGGCTTTTTGTAGGTCCATGTTTGAACTAAACTGGTTTGCTGTGGGTCCATGTTTGAACTAAACCTGCTTGTTGTGGGTCCGTGTTTGAACTAAACCTGCTTGTTGTGGGTCAATGTTTGAACTAAACCTGCATGTTGTGGGTCCATGTTTGAACTAAACTGGCTTGTTGTGGGTCCGTGCTAGACAGAAGTTTACTGAAACCTACGTTATCAACACACCACACAACTAAAATAATAGTTATAGCCTTTATTCCCGTCATACAACGTCACCAGAAAGTCTATAAACTAGACGTTATTTAACCAAAAGAAATAGAAGAAAATGCACCAACAGGAAGTGACGTCAGCAGAAGAAACGTATTTCTTCTGCTGATGATTATTATTTTGTGGTGTGTACTAACTACTGTTTCGGTTGCGATCCATGACACAACTATAATATTGTCAGGAACAGGCCTCTGTGATACAATAATAATATTGCTGACAACATCCGACAAAGGACCTGTCGGACACTTATTCTTTCTTATAAAGTCATTGTACGGCCGCTTCTTCCAATATGCTGGAATGATGTGGAATAAACGGTGACTTGACCCTGCCCTTGGCTATCTATGGCTTTCATCAAATCTATACGAAGAATAGCCAATCCCAAGTACAACCTCCTCCATCACCATCCTCCAGCCAGGATACTATCCTCTGTACAGTCTTAATCTTACATGTATTTCAGAACAATCCCGAATTGCTATGTTTTTGGTTTATTTATTTATTCATTTGTTTGTTTGTTTGTTGTTTAAGGTCGCACTCAGCAATAGTCCAGCTACATTTCGTGTATATGACGGCGGTCTGCAAATAACAGAGTCTGGACCAGACAATCCAGTGAGATACGTTGACAAGCATCAAACAAGTCAACGAGCCTGACCACCCGATCCCGTTTGTCGCCTCTTACGACAAGTGTTGCTGAAGACCTATTCTAACCTGGTTCTTCACGGGAATTGCTTTGATTGACCATGAAGGCAGGAGATGTATATATCAATCATCAGTACAGTTAAACTACAATTTGTCTAACTACTTCCACACGTATGACGTTACGGATCCGCTGGGTTTCCCAAAGCTCCATACAAAATCTGTACAAATATAGATATATTTCTGGGTCCAGCAAATGTATCTCCAAATCTCTGTCTCAAAGATCAACCATATTTGACTTTTCAATTTTGAACCCTACTATCCCACACGTCTAACCTACGAAAGACTGCATTCCTTGCTCCATAGGGCATTGTTATTAAACGTGATGACCATAGATATAGTTACAGGACAATTTATCAAAAATGAAAGCAAATGTCATCTGAAGTTTACTGAGTAAACAACATGTTACATGCTGAACTACCCGATGGATAACATCTAGGAGGATTAATCATTTAGGCAAGAAGAAGACATGAGCACCAATGGCGTTTCTCTCTTTCTGGTCGACTTCTTTATGCATATGAATCGGAATGTCTTCTCGGATTGGCCAAATCAACAGAAGGGAACGTAGTTAAGCTGTTTAACTTAAGCTTCAGGTATATCGATGATCTGATTTCGTTCAATAACCATAAACAGCCAATTCCCTCCACTGATTTACCCACCTCAACCAGAAGTAAAGAGACCAGTGAGGCCGCCTCATCTGTTTCACATGTAGATCTATGCATAGAGATTCGGAGTTACAAAACTCTCTCCTCAAGAGTGTATCACACGAGGATGACTTCAACTTTCCTTTGACTTTAACTGTCCCTTTATGTGGAGCAATATTCCAGCAGCTCCAGCCTTTGGTGTTAACATTTCACTAATTTGAAGCACAATCGAGAATGTTCTTTATATGAAGGTTTCACAGAGCGTCATACGGCTCTTGCGCAAAAGTAATTGTGTCATGTTTACAGGGTTCAAGGCCTCAGTAAAACTTTCAAACCGATTTATGGTAGACATGTGGAGGACATTTCCAAATTTGACGCATCAGTGACCAAAATGATGTCCGATGCTATTCACTGTTTTGACTTGTACCATATGTTCCTGTACTATTTTTCAAGTAAACAAGTAACTTGCCCTTGCATGTGTTTGTGACGTGTGCCACCGATGGGGCAGGATACGCTCACTTTTCGCGAAAACCTGGTTTCATCACTATTGATAGTGATTAACAAACACATGCTCATGATATAGTCAGAATCTAACAATGGTCTCTGCTTTTAGCTGAAACGTCTTATGAATATGGAACGGGTTTTGGCGCTTGTATTCATATTCACAAAAATAGGAATTAATAAGTGGAATTAATACCATGTGGATTCTTAAAAACTCAAAGAATTTGCTTGCATTTTTGCGCTCAGAAAAAAAATACCCTACATAATACATAATCCCCATATCTGTGTTTTGCAAACAGTAGTCTGCGTTGGCGGGCTTATCATTTTCTACACTGTCCTGGTATCTAACCACCTGTGCGTGGTAGACATTTGTTCACCGTGACGTTACAAGATGGTCTATGGTAAATACCTACGTGGTATGTATTACTCACTATCATGAGTGAGTGTGTTGGGAACGCCGGGGTATGGTGTTGACAAACCTTGCAACACAATAGAGACGAACCGGAATTCGAATGGATCACAGGTTTTTGGCATGCCCAAGGGACGCAACTCTTCTCCATGGATTGTGGCACCTTGGACGACTGGGTCACCGTGGCCTACTTACTGTAATAAAACAAAGTACCTGATACTATATACATTCTTTGACAAAATAAGAAATATATTCTTTCTTCCTCTTAAACTATAAATATTAACATCAAAATCACTCTAAATTTGTAAGAGTATTTTTTTAAATGTCGTTTTGATATTATTATTTTCTGTTTTAGCTTTTGTGATCGGAATAGTCCTGGTTAGCTTCTCAGTAGCAGGTGAGGATTTCATCGATTTGAGATGCATGTTACCTGTTACATCAGGACAGGCTGACAGGAGGCAGTGGTAACAAAGCGACCAAAGTTATTGAGTGGCCTAGTGGTTAAAGCGTTCGCTCGTCGCGCCGAAGACACGGGTTCGATTCCCCATATGTGTACAATGTGTGAAACCCATTTCTTGGGTTCCCCACCGCGTTATTACTGGAATATTTCTAAAAGCGGCGTAAAACCATAATCACTCACTCTATTTCCAGATGGCACGGCCGACTCATCTTGTAGTGATAAACTCGACAATTGTGCTAGCTACGAGAAATCCTTGTGTACCGGGAGCTTCAGCGGTTGGGCGAGAGACAATTGTGCGTTTACATGCGGACTCTGCGGTAGGATTTTGGTGACCAACTTTAGTCTGTGTATTGTGCGTCGTGCATATAGATTCTATATTAAAAGTTTGGTGACCAGTTCGCTCTCCATGTGTGCGTACGATCGCGCGTAGGTACGTGCGTGCGTCCGCTGCCCGGGACTTAGAAAGGAACATGTGTTCAGATACCTAAAAATTTCGAACAGTTTAACAACGGCCATTCCGCGCGAGTGCCTTGCTGATGAATAACTTGCAAACCCTTAAAAGCAAGGGGTCGGCGTATGGTTCTCGATAGGAAGTAAAAACATGGAGTCGATGGCTTGCGGACTATACAAGTTTACTTTACACAGGTAGATGTATACAATGTCATACAAAAAACACAGATGTCAGGTCAGTACATGGTGGTAGTGGTTGTTGTCTTGGTGCCCCGGAGCACCTGGCCTAACCCAGCTAGGCTGAGGATAAGACATTTCTCTCTCCCTTTAACGTGCGCTTCCCGACATATGCGTATTTCGCGCACGGGCCCGCCAGGCCATTTAGTGATGTGGTCGAGATGGGTATGTCCCAAAGGTAAGAACCCAGTGAGCTTTAGGGTCGCTTAATTATTTTTGGCGGAAATTTGGAATTTTGAAATATGCCATGCTAAAAAGGTTGGGGAACTAAAGGAGTTTGTGAGGTTGTGTGGTTGTGTGTTTTTATAGATTTATAATTTATGTTTTATTGGTAGCTTGTTTGTTGTGGTTTGTTCCTTTGTTTGTTTTGTTGTTGTTGGTTTTTGTTTTTATATTGTTATTTGCTTGTTTGTTTTTGTTTTGTTTGTTGTTTTGTTTTTTTTGGTTTTTTTTTTGGGGGGGGGGGGGTTGGGGGGGGGAGTAAATGCGGCCGAGTAGGCCTGTTTTCATTCGATAAATGCCTGTTGATTTGAATGTTGTTCTGTGTTGTTGCTAATGTGTGCAATGTAGTATAGTTTGTATATATAGTATATGTTCAGGAGTTTCTATATATTTGGTTGCAATGTGGGTTTTTTTTTAATTTGGTGTAGGTGTGAGTTTAGTTTAATATGGCCTGTTTGTAATTTGGTTATTGCCCTGTCGATTTGTTTTTAAGTTGGGCGCTCTATAGGGCTGTTACTATCCCCATTAGTTCAGCTGTGAAGATTGATTGGTTATTGTGGAGCCTGTAGGATTTTGTTTGTTTTGTAGGTTTGTTGATGTGGATGCCGAATCCCGTGCGTTTTGAGTCCGGGGCAAAGGACCCGCCTGTGTTTATGTGACACCAGTTTGGCCTTTATCGTGTATATATGCTAGTGTGGTGGATTTAGCAGTGTTTGGGTCGGTGTCTTTACTTAGTTTAGTGGAATGAGATATGTCGATTTGGGGGGGTTAAATCATTTAGGTTGTGAGTATTTAAGTAGTTTAGTATGCGTTGGGAAATTGATACCTATTGGGGTTTTTTCTTTCCAGCTAGCGCTTGGAGTTTTGGGCTTCTTAAGCATTTGTTGGATTTGTGGGTTATCTTAGGTGGTGGCCTAGGTTTATATAGCCAAGGTCACTTGACATGGATTAAGTCATAAATATAAACAACAGTAATTAATCAGTGACATAGTTGCACATTTCGTTCAGGATGGCAGACAGTCACTGTACACTATTTTGGGGATTAACATTGGGATTCGCATCTTATAAATAAAGGCAATCAAGTGTTTCAAGGCATAAACTCATCATGGCTACAGGGTAATTAGCTTTTGGAATCAAATGTTCATTCGGACAATGGCAATGGACAATGTGTTGAACCTGCAAGATATGAATGATTTAATCGTCTTTATTTCGTTTGATCATCTTCACTTTCAGATGTTGTGTCCAACCACTGTGTTGACATACTCCCCAACTGCAAAGCCTATGGAGATGGTGCTTGCCATGGTGACTACAGGCCTTGGGCAGAGACAAATTGTGCTTCGACATGTGGGTTATGTGGTGAGTCTCATTGGCTGTTCTTGTGCCAGTTCCCGTGCGTTTGTCCGCTCTCCAGTTCAAACAGGTCTTGAATAGCATCATAAAGGTATATCATGAGAATGTAAATGGTGAGTAATAGAATTGATGATGTACAGTCCAACATTCAACAGGAGTGAGTTAAGATTTATAGTCACATCGGCAATATTTCAGCCATATCGTGACTAAATCAAATTAAACAATACATCCATTGAGAATAAAATGCGGTCGACAAGGGACAGTAAAAGAACTAGATTATCACAGATTATCACAGATATAACCATACAATTTGACTATTCTTGACAATACAATATAAAATTGGGCTATATATCATCAGCAACCAAAGTTAGGCCACCACACTTGGGGACCATTGGGACTAACAGGACACACCAGGGTACATCACGTCACGAGTGTCATTGATCGCAATCACACTTATTAATTTCATAGACCGCCTCCGTGGTCTAGTGGTAGAGAGTCCGCCCGGAGATCGGAAGGTCCGGGGTTTGATCCCCGACCGCGTCATACCAAAATACGTTAAAAGATGGTACTTGTTGTTACCCTGTCTGGCGCTCGGCATTACGGGGCTAAACAAGGACTGGTCGGCTCGGAGTCAGTATACTGTGTCTGATTGGGGTATCCATGTTAAACTGCGGCATGGTATCTCAGTGTGGTAGCACTATAAATCGGCATCAGTCCGGACCAGTACAAGCAGCCACACACACGCGTGCATGCACGTCGCTATATAAGTGCAATAATCTTGGACGCGACGTTAAGACCCATTTCACCTCACCTATTAATTTCATAGTATGTGATTATTATCTTCAGTTAGATCGCCATTCTGCATATCTGTTTTATCTTAGTGCATTGTATAATTGTGCCAATATTGGCATCATACAGGCTGATAGTGGTCGTAACGGCATGATAAAAACGGTACTGAACCAATCCCAGTCCTCGATTATCTGGTCAAGAATTGATTATCTACAGACCGCCGTCATATAGCTCGACTTTTACTGAGTGCGGCATTAAAGAACAAACAAAATTTTGAATGAGGTTGAAGATGAATATCCCTTCTTGTTTGGTTGCAGCAAATTATATGAAAAATGATAAAAACGGAACGACTATATTATGTACATCCAAACAAAGATGAAGTACTTCATTATTATTTCAAGATTACCTCACCAGATTCCAACACTTGTAAGGACAAACTCGACAACTGTGAATCCTACGGCCCCGCAGCATGTCATGATCAATACATCATCTGGGCAAAACAGAACTGTGAACTCACATGTAGACTCTGTGGTAAGTAAAACGATGCCAAATTTGAATAACATCCAATCCATAAAGGGCAAGTGAACTGAACTTGGCAACTTTGCAGCTTTTAATACTTTATGACATGCTTAATCACAAATGCTTGACTAAAATCAAACTTGAAAAACAGAAATAGCGAAAAATAGATCATAAAAGGCGAAATAGTTGCCCAAACGAAAAGAATCCTCCACTGGTGTTAAGGCAGGTTTCCGGTGTTTGTACATTATATGTAGCTCGGTGCCAGTTTAACGATCAGGTCGGCACCCAGTCTGCTGCTTTAGCCTCAGATTTTTAATTTCAAAGTTCACCTAAAGTGGTTTCCCTTGGATGACTTTTTCCGATTGTGACACTTGTACGTATCTAATCCAAGAAAGAATCTATTTCGTATGTGCAGTATCGCATGCACGCTTTAACTCAAAGTTAAAGTGGGGATAAGGTGTTACAGTGATTGCAGAGTATCGATTTAGTTTATTTTCACATTCTGATTCTGAAGATACATCCTGGATAATGGATACATCCTGAGGACATTTTATTTCTGGAACAAATGCCCCCCCCCAATAAAAAAATCGCAGCTCCACCCCACATCACCCCTATTTTATACAGGATCTTACTGTTATACGGGATACAACAATCAGTGTAACATGCCGTATGGATGGTTTAACCTGAAATCAATTATATATGCTAATGTAAAATAACATATACACTACTGCCTAAAAGTTCATTCCCCTAACACGCGTTGAGAACGCGTGTAACACGCATGTGACACGGGTGCTCAACGGGTTGCACACGCGATTCACACCCGTTGCACACCCGTGTCCAACGGGTGTGAATCGCGTGGGCAACCCGTTGCACACGCGTGTGCCACGCGTGTAACACGGGACCGGGTTCCAGTTGAAGTTGACAAATTTATCAAATGAATAGTGAAATAAAACAAAACAGTGAGATGTGAAATTTGAGTTAATGAGCGGCCATTGAGCTGTGTTCACCAGACCGTAAATACAAGGTCGGCCCATCTTAATTAGTGTTCGGTTGCTAGACTTTTATGGCATGAACCATTCCACTAGGGTCCAGTCTAGCCATTGTGGCTAGCCGACAGTAGAACAGTAGTGAATTTAGATGCGAGTTTATTGCTAAGAAACCCCCGTGTTGACACGATTGTCGCGGGTTGGTAAATGTTCGCCATTAATAAAATAATTGTTTGTGGATTGCGAACATTTTCATTTGCCCACACGAGTCATTCCATTTGATTGCAAATATATCGTTTTTCGTTCGCCAAATTTATGCTTTAGACAGTTCAATTATGACATAGCCGTCACAACTACTAATGTCTTATTATTTCACGTAGGAATATGTCCCATTTCCCCACACCCAACGTTCTGTGTTGTATTTTGAAAAATAAATAAAAGAAGGTTTTGTGTGGGACACTTTTATACTAACTATAAGAGGATGTTGTAAATGAATATGAACAGCCATGCTGTCTGACAGTTGATAAAATTTGAGATCTTCACAATCACCGGGTGTGACCATGTAGACAGAATCTCGTTAGGGTTTGTGATTTTTACATTTGCCCAATTACCATAGTGAGTATTGCTGGGGATACCAAACGTAACAGTTTATTATTAGAGGTTGTGAGTACCTATACCACGTAGATAGGATATCTTTAGGATTTTAATCCTTCTTTGAGGGGCATTTAGAAGTTGGAGTACTACGTTAGGATAAGATTTATGGGTGACTTTAATCCTTTCTTTCTCTGTGGGTAATCCTTTCACGTTCATTTGAGGAAGTCACTCAACCAGGTCATGACAGGTCGTGAGTTTACTTACTAACTACTGTGAGCGTTTTTGGCATGACATCTTTTCTTGTATAAACATAGAAACGATGCTCACTCACTCACTGTTAATCTTCTGCAGTTTGCTGGCAAAGTGGGGATAAACCTCAGTGTCAAAGACGATCAAACTTAGTTCGAATCCTTGTTTATTTGTGACATCTCCCAAATGGGGACATTTTCATAAACTTGGCAAGTGATGATGAATTTTAATATTAATATTATTATAGTTTATGAAATTGTTAATAAAACTTTAATAAAATTGTGCTTCACTCTCACGAAAAATATATTGCCTGTGAGTAAATTTATTTGTCACGTTACATCGGCATTTTTCAGTGATATTGGGACTACATGAAACATGGCTGGTTTTACATTTCTGATACAGGTGCTTGACTGACTGAGTAGTTCATGATCAATAAGATATGTTTAAATCAGTCAAGTTTGCAACAATAGATGAATAAGTTGATACATTTGGACCGCAGTTACCGATTAACAACTTAAGACATAGAGACAGGGAGGAGATATATAACCAAACCTATGATCCTGTTGAGACAGTTGACAGTTAGAACGTTGGATTAAACGACAGTAACTAATTTGAACATTCCCCAGTTATATCATAAAATACATCATAACTCATAACAGTCCGAGAGACAGCTTCCAGACATATACTAGTATTGAAGGGACAATCGCTTTTGACAGTTTAAAAATAAACTCACCTTAAGGTGCTTGGCAAATCAAAACTGACCTCCCTGAATATGTTTTTTAGGTTTGACAGCAACTATGCTTGTGGATTTCAGAGATAGACATGATTGGTTAGCTAGATGTTATTACAATAAGCGAAAATGTCTTAAAAGTCCACAGTTGGTTTAATAGTACAAAAAGTGTGTTATAGATCTATCAACGTTTTCTTTTATTGAACATAATATTTGCACTATATTGCTGTAAGCTGTAAATAATCTAGCCTCCCCATGTACGTAACTTACATATATTTATGTATGGCCAGAACAGCAAATAGAGTTCTGGTAGATAGGTACCTCGGAGATATAACGTGCGCTTTCCGACTTAAGCCTATCTCGCACACGGGGAAGCACTTGTACTATTAGGGTAAAAAAGGGTAATGATTAAATAAAGAAGTGCAATCTATTTTCTATATATATTTGTAGATATGAAGCATTCTAGTTAATTGTGGATGCACCGGGCAGACAGAATTGTGTTTATTTCCAGGCCATCCTGATCGTCGTTTACTACTATAAGGTGTATGGTTGGAGGCAAGATCAAAGGCGCCGCACAGCATTTATTAGATAACAGACGGGGTCGTCCGTTTCGCTTTGAACAACCACCCCACCTGTCTGTAGGAGTTATATAATCGGTGCGCAAATAATTGTGTCAAGTCCACTGCCGGGCTGATGCGGTGTCAGTGTCAGCGATGAACATGAATGCTCAAATTATAGACTTGTAGCACTCACAAGTTGCTTAGCCACATTATTTGAAAAGTGTATATTCAATTCTCTGATAACAGGAAATATAACCTTAGGAAAAGATTCAACATACAAACAATCAAATGTAGAACACAGTCCTATGCTTATTATCATTTCTTCTGGATATGATCAACCTGCGGAACCCTCTATCCGATGAAGTAACTAATGCTCGCTCATTAAAAGAAATCAAATCCTTAATTAATCGTTCTGATGCAATTATTAATAATTTTGACTTCAAATATTTTCATAGATCATGCCAAATTGTCCACTGTCGCCTTAGGCTCGGCTGCAGTGACTTAAACGCTGATAAGTTTAGACGACATGTATCAGACATACCAGACTGCACTTGTGGATATCACCTTGAAGATGCAATTCACTTTTTCTATAACTGTTAAAAAATACGATAATATCAGAAACACTGTGTATTTCTACACACATGGGTATGGTCTAAAAATTATATTACATGGCAGTAGTTAAGCAGTTCTACAAACATGACTCTTCTTAAATCAGTTCATGACATCATTGTCAAAAGCAAAAGGTTTGAGTAGCTTAAGTTTATGCATGTAGTAAAGGAAAACTGCATTACCTTATTTCAAAGACACCACTTGCTTGCTTTCATTTGTGCATTTTGTATGTTTATGTTCATCACTCTCTTATATATATCCAGCGGTTGTTAAGTTGTTACCTGGAGAGGTATTACATAAGCATGTTTTGCTTGTTTACCGATACAGATTTCTTTTGAAATAAAAATACGTTTAAGCCAACACAGCTAACGGTAAAACACATGATTGTAAACTATTCAAAAAGGGGCACTAATCTCTGGCTTCTTCTCGGGTGTCGGACTCAAACTCATTTATTCTTAGAATAACATGACATACAATTATCTACAATTTTTATTATGTACAATTTAATAAAAATAGGATACGTGGATACTAATACAATTTACCAATTGTATTGTACACATTGTTAAGGAATTTAGATAGGCCTTTAAGATTTCTTACACTGTTAGTGGTCATAATTTTCTTAAATGTTTGGAAACTTAAGATATTGCTTATTTAAGAGTTCATATCGCCGTTGGTGAAAAGCTTCACATCGGATGTAATGCAATTCATCTCCCACGGCGATAGAATCACAGAGTGGACACTGGTTGTCTTCCCTGGGAATGTTCAGCCATCGACCAGTTTCAACTGGTACTCCTTGGTTAGAAAGTTCTGACTTTTAGTATTGGGAGAAATATTGATTTTGAGAGCAGTAGATATTTCGCAAATGAAGGTTGATTCTTCCACGACCTTTGGATTTCCGCTTGGGCTTACTAGCTGCCGTGAGTCAATTTGCTCGTTAACGCAACCGAGCGTGACAAGAGACTGGGCTACCAGTCTGCAAGGACAGCTAAATAAACTTACGCATTTTTGAAAACTGATTGGTTACCCGTGATCTATGAAGATTTCAACAAAGGGCGCATGGTAATTAATTTCTTCAGCCTAAACAAACAGACAAATAACGGCGAAAGCTCATCGGATGTCGTCATTTGGAAATACCCCTGATTGTTACAGTTTGATAATAAAAAAGTATCCCTGAGTGAAAGCATTTGCGGATTTCGGATTGCGTGGATGATACAATTACTACTCCCTTGTTGTCATCCACATTTTCTGGTATAACCCTACACTTGTGTATTTGTCGTAATTCACTTGCTGCTCAGTTAATTAATTTATAACATGTATACTTAGTTGTAGCACAACTCAGATTACCCGATAAAGGTTCAAATTTGGTCTTTCTTGTACCTGGGGTAATTATTTAATCTAAATCCAGGTTTGAAGTGAGGTGGAATGTGAGTTATGCACGTCGCAGCCCAGCAAGTGATGTATGATCAGTTGCTTTACTTTTTTTGTAAATCAACTGATCATTCCCAGACATCAAAGGATCAACAGGAAATACGTTGATTGATTAATTACTGTTATCTTGCACAGTGGATACGTCAAAAGTAAGTGTTTACATGTGAAGGTAGGGTTACTAAACCTAGGGAATACTCATATCATGGCGTGAAGTACAGATGTAAAAACAACATACAGTCAAGTCTCGTTAATCCGACACTCGTTAATCCGACGCTCGGCTTTATCCGACACAAATGATGGGAACCGATTGATTCAGCGCTATTTAGTCCCGTTAATCCGACATTCTCGCACTCCGACTCCGACACACCTAATTTGCAACGAATTACTGAAATCACTCATTAATCAGTCTCGTTAATCCGACACAGTGGTCAGCGTACTCCGTGGTCATCTGCCCGCGAGTACACAACACCGTGTTTTGACACGCACCGGCCGCAGAGATTAACTTTAACAATTAACACTAGATGCCAGGATCATAAAGAATTTCAAGCTTTATTATAAGAAACAAATGAAATTACACCTCGACAATGTTGATGCTGAAGGACCATCGAATGTACTTTGTTCAAAGGGTAACCGATAATACACTGACTAGTTGTTCATTGTTATCTAACTCAATGTATGTTTTTAAGAACCGTGGACATTATAAAAATAGTTGTCACGTGGGCTTTCTCAGCTAACTTGGCACCTATGTGAAACAATTGAAACAAAATAAGTGATCAGTTAAGAAACAAACACGGGTTATACTATTCGATACATTTAAATAACGTTTAAAAACGATATATTTAAATATTTTAATATATTTCATATATATTCCAAATATTGTTTCCAAATAATTATTATTAAAGTATTTGATTCTCACATAGACATTTTACATCGAATAAGTATTTTTGTACAGCTGCAGACGCAATGGATATTGTTCCTGTATGTTGATATTCCCGGATACATTATAACTTTGGTAGGTTGTTATAATGATATTTGCATTTTGTTTTCATTCATTCGCTGCAGCTTTGAACAGAATCATTCTTGTTCCTTTCCGTTTGGTTGGGAAGTTTTTCGATGCGCGATAGACGGTGTTTTCACAAGTATTTTCTTTTGTAAGCGTGTATATGTTACAGTCAATGTGTAAAATATGATTCACTCAGGCAATTTATTAAATATCTAAATATTTCAGTCATTTTACAAATTGACTGAATAATCCATTCATTTATTTAACCGACTGACTAAAAATGATAAAGACGACCAAGAGAGCTTAAACACATCACAATATATTAATTATGCTAAGAAAAGAAGCCAAACAATACAGAACTGTACTTGGTGATGGTATTAAACATATTTGGAATTCGTTATCATATTAATAAAGATGGACATATTTTTCAGTTAATTTGTGAAATAAACTGAATATTTAGGCGTTTTAATACATTTCCTTAGTGAAATCTGTTTACATTTTGAATGTAAACATATACACACGGTAAAATAAGCAATGTTCAGTGAAATATTTACTCTGTGTTGCAAGTCAAAATAGTGTACACGAAGATTGCACAATTACCAAGCAAGTGACTTATCAAAACTGCATCACCATTACCGATGCTCCCCACAAATATACCTACATTTCAAAAACTGTATTTCATTTTTGTTGATCAGTGTGACCATACGTCCTTCTACTTTCAATTAAAATGCGCTTACGAATGGCGAGCACAGGTCGCGAACAAGTCTAGATTTCTGCTATATCATCCGGGTACTCACTGGGAAAATACAGTAATGCACAGGTAACAACTACTCCCGCGGAATTGCTTTAGATCAGTGTCCTTGGTACGTTGAAATACTATATATTGTGAAAGACAAAATGATGTATCAAGGATCAAGTAGAAGATACATTGACCGTTGCGCTGGGAGTTTATTCAACAGACCGTGAAAATAACACTGCTGTATCTTATTATTTATTTTAGATGATGCAGGCAAAGCTCACTTCTCCTGGCGGCCATTATCAAACGGCCAGCTAAAACACAACCCCGCGCTTACGTCTACAGGTCTCTTCCTGTAGTACGGTAATTAGTATTCTCTCCCTCAAGTGTATCCTCAATGATATAACCCACCCTCATTAATTACATGCTGCTCTTTTCCAGCCTCACGGCTATGGAAAACATAACAAAAACACCAAAAACCGCCCCAAATTAATAAACCAAATTCTCAAAAGCGTAAACAAACTAACAGAGGCAGGCAAAAACATACAACTTATCTGGATACCAGCTCACGTAGGAATTTACGGGAATGAAAACGCAGACAGAGCCGCAAAACAATCCCTAAAAATACCAGACATAAGCCTTAAGCTACCAATATCTAAAGCAGAAATCAAAAGTATAAACAAACGTAAAATCACCCAAAAATGGCATAACCTCTATCAAAACACAAAAACCCAAATCCTAAAAACCCTCAAAAAACCCCTCACCAAACCAAAAATCCTCCATCCCTCCAAAAAAATCGATAGAATAATCACCAAACTCCAAACAGGACACACCAAACTAAATAACCACCTTCTAAAACTAAAAAAACACGCAAACGGGAAGTGCCCACACTGCACTCACCCAGAAACAATAGACCACGTACTACTACATTGCACCCACTACCTCACACAACGTACAACATTACAAACCAACCTAAATCCAAATAACGCTCTTACCTTAGAAGCAATCCTTAACCCCCAAAATAAAATAGAAAACTTCAAAGCCCTAGGCATTTACCTAACCAAAACAGAACTAATTAACCGTATTTAAAACTTCACTAAACCACCAACACTAAACATCCAAAAAACATCAACTCACCCCCACACACTCCCTTAGTCCCAACCACTCCCCCAAGGCATGTATTCCAAATCTCAAAATTTCAAAACTTTATATAAGCAACCACTAAACCCCCCTCCTTGGTTGCACTCCTCTCGCTACCACTTTTATACCACTAAATGGCCCGGCCGGGCCCGTGTGCGAAATACGCTCCAGTCGGAAAGCGCACGTAAAATCTCCTAATATAAGTAAGTAAGTAAGTTAATGTCAAATCACAATAAAAGCATTTCAATTGCAATAACATGTTCCAGGACCATGTATTCTCTTAATTAACACCATCGGATTTAGAAGCAATGGTCGTATAAAACAAAACAGATCTATTTAATCGCAACAGTATTCATGTTATTCCCACAAAATCACATAAAGAAAGGAGACATTAGGAAATACATGTGTATTATCATTTTTCGTCAGGATAACAAAATTTTCTCTCCTTGTTACCACCTCCAGGTTCAGCTTAAGACGGGTCCTCCTTTGGTCAAAAGTTTGTTCCCCCTCTAATGAGTGTGTCACGCGTTGCACACGAGTGGCGGACGGGGTGCACACCCGTGTGCAACGCGTTGCACACGGGTCTCACACGCGTGACCAACCCGATGCACACTGGTTGCGTAACGCGTTGCCCATGCGTGTAAGGGGAATGAACTTCTAGGCAGTAGTGTACATACCTATTATTTCTTTGTTTTGTGGATTATTCAGATGTGGGACTGACTGGTGTCTAGCCAACGACACCGAGGGACACTGGTACAATGAGAAGTAATTTGATTCCATTTGTGTTTTGTTTTCCCTTTACATATATCAGTCAGCACAAATAAACTACAATTTGCCCAATTACTTCTTCCTGTGTGACGTTACGGATCCGCTGGGTTTCAAATCAAAGATTCATGCCTATGTTTATCCTTGATCTGTCAACACTGTATCCACAGGTACAACCAACCTGAGCCACTTAGTGTTTACCTCTGTCACTTAATTATCACAACGTGACATCAGTGAAATATAGTTCGAGCGTTAACCAATTTTAACCATCTTTAGAATGCACACACTGAAAAAGAGGAAACAGAATTGGAATTGACCCATTCTGTTGTTCTTCGCACTGTCAAGGCCTCAGATAACATAATCATTATATGTAAGCATTAATTGTTTGATAAAAAAACTGATAATGTATAAGGTATTAAATAATACCACATATAATGTCAGTATGTTAACTGAAAATGAAATCTGCCAAAATCACGCGTCAGAAGTATCAGTTTTTTACTTGATTTAAAACCTGAAGACATGTCCATTCCTCTTTTGTACTGGATTCAAAAGCTCCATATAATCCATACAAAGAGAGATATATTGCTGGCCCGTGAAGATCCAGGGTTAGAATACATTTAGCAGCGTTAAATAACAAAACAAACAAAAACAAAAAAAGAAGACAATTCTCCAAGCGTCAAGGGAAAGAACTAAGGTCAGTTATGTCAAATAAAGGATTTTTCAACAGTGTTCACCACTATCCCACACGACAAACCTTAGGAAACACTTCATTCCTTGATCTATGGCATTTTTAACTGATCGTGGGAACCATAGATATAGTCACAGCTCCTCCTTAATGGGGTCAGTATAATTTGTCAAAAATAGAATCAATCAGAACAATTTGTTAATGCTGGATTTCCTCTTTGATGTCATCTTTGTTAAATTTTGGGATATGACATCGGGCAAGAATAAGGCAATGGCACCCATTATGTTACCCTTTGTGTTATCTGTTTCTTTATGCATATGAATAGCAATGTCTGCTCGGATTGGCAACATTAAAACACGGATATTGGGTCAAGAGGTTTAACTTCATCTGATATCATTCAATAATGGCCAAATAGCCAATTCCCTTCCAAAGATTAACCCACCTGAACTAGAAATAAAGAGAACAGTGAAACCACTTCATATGTTTCATATTTAGATCCATGCATAAAGATTGAGAGTGACAAAAACTCCCCGCTGGACTGTGTAACAAAAGGGGTGACTTCAATTGTCAAGTTTCCCTTTATGTCGAAGAATATTCCAGCAGCTCCAGCCTTTGGTGTCTACATTTCATAACATTTTGGGTACAATCAAGACTGCTCTTTCTACCAAGAGCGTCTTAAGACTATTGATCAAAAGTTGTCAAATCATTGTTACAACATTCAAGACATCAGTAAAGCTTTCAAAAGGTTTCTTAGTAGACATGTGGACATTTCCAAATTTGACGCATCAGTGACAAAAACTATGTCCTTTTCTCAGGTGAACAATTGACTTGCCATTGGATGCATTTGTGACGGGTGCTACAGTTGGGGCAGGATACGTTCACTTTTGCGCGAACACCTGGTATCATCAGTATTTGTGAATGATTCATAAACACAAGCTGGTGATACAGTAGGAATCGAACGATATTGGATTCTGCTTTCAGCAGAGATTTCTGAGGATTACGGAAATGTGTTTTGCTGTTTTTATTTACACCTATACGTTTCAACATGTCCTCTGATGGAATACTACATGTAGTTTCTCACTCTGATTATTACAATAGTTGACCTGAATGCTGAGATAGGACATAAACAGATAAACAGAATGAGTGGTGTCGTGAACCAGATCTCGGGAACCCGACAAAGTCCATTCCTTAACCATAAATTACTGACTGTTGGGCCATAAACTTTTTTGTGTTGAAATATGCATGTTAATGACAACTGCCGATGCGTATAGAGATGCAAACAAAAGATTTTTAAGAGATTTAAATACCTCGATTCTGGGTATTCATGAAGTGAGTGAGTGATCACAGTTGTGTGTTTCGTTCTATAATTGGCAGTATTATGGGGACAGGGGTCGCAAATATACGTTTCCTTCCGTCAGATTCAGAATACCTCGAGTAGACAGTGAGTAGATATCATGGCAACGAATGCAAATTGTGTTTTATTGTACATAAGCAGTGAATAGAACACGAGGTTTCAGCGAAACAACTCATCACACCTCCCCTCATCTGGTATAGTGGTGAAGAATGTGTTCTTGTAGACGTTTATTGTAACCTAAACAACCTGTAACGTCTTTGTTAAAGAAGTAAACGATCATATTGTCTGGTCCAAACTCGATTATTTACAGACCGCCGTCGTATAGCTGGAATAGTGCGGCGTTAAAAAACAAATAACCTAACCTATAAATTATAGCGATGTTTTATTGAGGCTGAAAATGTCCCCATAGGCATTTTAAGTAGTAGTGATGGTTTAATTAGCTGAAGACAGACCCCAAAGGCATTATAAATAGTAGTGATTATTTATTGAGAATGAAGATGAACCCATGAATAGTAGTAGTGTTTTATTAGGGATGAAGATAGGCCTCTTAGGCATTATAAATAGCACTGATGTTTTAGTTGGGATAAAGATAGACCCCACAGGCATTACATAAAAAAAAGTAATGATTTATTGGGGATGAAAATGGACCCCCACAAGCATTATAAATAATATTGATTTTTTATTGGGAATGAAGATATACCATGTAGACATCATAGTTAGTAGTTATGTTTTACTGGCTGAAGATTGACCCCAATAGGCAGTATAAATAATTCGGATGTTCCATTGGTGATGAAGGTAGAAGAACCCATAGGCATTATATATAGCACTGATGTTTTATTGGGGATGAAGATATAAGCCAACAGGCATTTTAAATAGTAGTAATGTTTTATTAGCTAAAGGTTTACTCTCTAGGCATTATAAATAGCACTGATGTTTTAATGGTGATGAAGATAGACCACATTGGCATTATAAATAGTAGTTATGTTTTATTGGGATGAAGATAGACCCACAGGCACCATAGTTAGTATTGATGTTTCATTGGGGATGAAGATAGACCCCATAGGCATTATAAATGGAAGTAATGTTTTATTGGGGATGAAGATGTACCCCCGTAGGCATTATAAATAGTAGTAATATCTTATTATGGATGAAGATGTACCCCACAGGCATTATAAAAAGCAGTAATATTTTATTGGGGATGAAGATGTACCCCCGTAGGCATTATAAATAGTAGTAATATCTTATTAGGGATGAAGATGTACCCCACTGGCATTATAAATAGCAGTAATATTTTATTGGGATGGAGATAGACCCCATAGACATTATAAATAGTAGTAATGTTTAAATCGGCCACAGAAACACCCCACAGGCATTATAAATAGTAGTGTTGTTTTATTGGGATAAAGATAGATCTCATCATGGGAATCAAGTCAAGATGAAAACTGTCTGTGAAGCCAGATCATCCATTGACTCAAGGCGTAAGTTGTTCCTGTATTCGGAAAGGTTGTAGAGCAGCAAATGGCACCATACAACACAGAGAATTTTATGCTGATAATTGAGTTTAAAATGACAAAAGAAAGTATTTTCAGTTAGGACATTTTATTCCTTAAACACAAAGAAACCTTTTGTAAATTTTGTATAAGAAATCATCATACATGCTGTAAATAAATCTCGCCCAACAATACAATTAGACATGATAAAATATTACAAGCATTGGTCCTAGAGATCAGAGTACGAGGACACATTAGTTGGTGGGTTGGTTAGTTGGTTGTTTAACGCGGCACAGCGATATTCCAGCTATATGACGGCGGTCTGTAAATAATCGAGTCTGGACCAGACAATCCAGTGATTAATATCATGAGCATCGATCCACGCAATTGGGATCGATGACATGCATCAACCAAGTCAGCGAGCCTGACAACCCGATCCCGTTAGTCGCCTTTTACGACAAGCATAGTCACCATTTTACGGCAAGCATAGGTTGCTGATGACCTATTCTACCCCGGATCTTCACGGGTCACGAGGACAGGTAAGGAATCAAGTCGCTGATCACCGGATCAATTTAATCGTCTCTTACACCATGCATTGGTTCCTGTGGACCTATTTTAAACCAGGTAACATACCACAATATTCTGTATTAGTGCCAGATTTTTGGTAAACACAAACCATTTATGTCAGTAGAAAAAAGTAGTCAGTAAAAGAATCTTACATAATCCCTATGTAATGCCTACTAACTTGGCTAACTAGTCCTTGGCTACCAAACATTGAATGAGAACATAACATGCATTATCTACAGAATACTCATCATTAATAATGATTCTTGAAAGCAAACCGATATAAACTAAAAGACAAAATGCCACTGTGAACAATTTTAACTATCATACAACCAAGCCCACATGGACAATTTATATTAACTTCCATGTCTGTTAGCTAAATGAGACTGACAGTAAACATAATTGTTTTAGAAAAGAAAGGGTTGAGATAATAAACCTTGAAAAAATGTGATAGGTATACCACAGGTTAGATACGTGTCAACATCTAGGGTTTGATAAGGGTTTGCATACTTGGGCAACTAAAATTAACAATGATTTTGGTAGAACATTTTAAACAAGAGTCATCAGAAGATGACGAATCCCCCTGGCCCCCACAAATGTAAAAGATAAAATCCATGTATCCAGAAATAGTCCAGTTGTCCCACACATCCCCTAGCGCTGTATGTCACTATGAAACAAAGTTCCACATAGATCCTTGTTATTCTTCAAAATCCATAGCGATGTGAACACCCATTCCTGGACATCCATATTTTACTTCTCATAGATATTGTTTTCAGCATATCCATCAGAATGTATGCAATACCTTCCTTCATGTCCACACACGGTAATCTGTGACCACTCTGAAGTGTAAGAAAAGATACATGGGATAGGTTTGGGTACAATGATATACAATCACTCAGGCAAAAGATCTTGACTTGTCCTGAAAGTCAAGGGTGATAAGGACTTCTTCTACCCGATAAGCCCAAACAGGTTCTTGAAGAAAGCTACAAGATTTACAATATGACAATTAACCTCACAATTTCAAATCTATACCTTAGTAAAGCTTGTGAGGAGCAACAAGAAGGTTTGTGGTATTTGCCTGGTTGTCAGGGACCAAATCATATGACAATACTAACCAGAGATCTGTTGTCGTTTTGCCCAGAACTGTGGCTAAGATGTGTCCTCATGCCACCTCAGGGGGGATTGGTGGCTCAGTTGTCGAAGGCGCCCTAATTAGTTGTGTAGAGTTGCGCCCCTTGGACATGACAGTAACCTATAATTGTGGGTTCGAATCATGATTTAGGTTTCACCAAAGTGGTAAACGTCTAAGACCTGCATCACTTCGGGATTTCCTCCCAGATTAAACCAAACTCACTCACTCTCTCACTCTTACCACCTTAGAACTGTTAATTAATGTGACAATTCTATACTAAAAATGTCCCTACTATGAGTAGATGAGTTAGATTACATGTTGAATTTCGTTTAAATCAATACCAAACTCAAATCCATCATAATAGTGCATATCATAAGCTAACATAGACATATATATATAAAATATTTTAATGTACTTTTGTGGCACTTAGCATACTTTATCTTCGCGGGTACAACCTCCTGTATTAACAGAGAGACAGTTATAACATATATTTTACCTTATTGCCAACATATGTCACGTTAAGAGGACTCCATAAAAAATAGTGCCTGTAGATCACTTTGAAAAGTAGTATTTAAAGTAGCTTCATATGTCAGCAAAGACAACCATATAACAGTGAGTGAGTGAGTTGGGTTTAACGCCGCTTTAACAGTATTCCAGTTATGTCGCGGCGTGTCAGCTTAATGTGGGAGGAAAGCCCGAAGTGATGCAGGTCTTAGACGTTTTCAACTTCGGTGAAACCAATGAGCACGGATATGGTGCTAACAAACCTAGAAACATAATTGGGGCGAACTGGGATTCGGACCCACAATCAAAGGTTTCTGGCGTGCCCAAAGGGACGCAACTCTGCACAGCGAATCGCGGCGCCGTAGACGACTGGGCCACCCGTGCCCCTAACAGTGAGTGATTGGTTGTGTGGATGGTTGATTGAGTGCATGGTTGAGTGAGTGGTTGGTTGAGTGGGTAGATGGTTGAGTGTGGTTGAGTGGTTGGTTGAGTGTGTGGTTGAGTGTAAGGGTTAGTGGTGGAGTGAGTGAGTTTGGTTTAACGCCGCTTTTAACAATATTCCAGTTATATCGCGGCGTAGTTAGTGGTGGAGAAGGTGGTTGAGTTGGTAGTTGGTAGTTGGTTGAGTGGGTGGTTGGTTGAGTGTTTACGCAACAAATACTATTCCGACCATTAAGCTAAAACAGAAGATATAAATATTAATATATATGAATATATAATAACATTAAGAACAAATATGAAATATTACAATATTACAGTGACTTTAATGTAAATAGTTAAAGTAAACTGTTTTACAAGAAGAAACAAAGATGTTTCTTCTACTGCCAACGAAATATATAAGTACCATGTACCTTGTTTCATGAGAGTAAATAATATTGTACTTACCTTGTAGGTTTTTACCACAGACCATGTTGTAAGGTCGCCGTGAACAAATGTCGCCCAGGTGAGAGGTGATTACATTACAGGTGGGTGAAGGCCATGATAAGCCCACCAACGCAGATGGCAACATTGACGAATGTACTCTTATCAATTCGTGGGAGTTTTCTGCACGCGCGTCTTTACCACTTAGCAATAAAAACAAGAAGAATTCAGTCACGTGACAAACGGTAGCTTTATTGTGCCGACTCATTGATATATTAAGGGGAACACACCATCTTGTCTCACTCCTCCTTTTTCCATTAGCCGATGACTAAATCTGAAACAATCCACACACAAAACACGATGTAAATATAGAAACATGAAATGGAATCATGATCCATGGATGCTTGAAAAAAATCCTGGTTATATTATTTCGACGTCATGTATTCTTATTAATGATCTCTGAAAGTGTGGGTTCCCATGTGGAAATCTTCAATGCTGAACTGAAAACAGCTAACAAATAGCAATTAAAAAACCTGTTACATGTGACCGAAATGGAACATTGCCATTAATGTTCCATGCCATGCGTGACATCATGTATTAAGAAAACAATGGTTATACGAATGATGGTTCCTGCTGAATATGTGTATCTACTTGTACTTGTACTAATAAGGCTAAAATAAAAAAGGAAATACTTCAGGCATCAGTACGTCCCGCAAAACGCAAAAGCCTGCATGTCAGTCTTTGTATTGCCAATAAAAGTAGACATTTTTCCATTTGCCTGCGTCACGTGATGCAGATATTCCAACCTCATCACTTTTGTTTACAATAAAACAAATTTAAATGTCCTACCCCTCCTTGTGGAAATATGTGCCCGGAAATCATTTTATGCCGCCGAATGAAAGTTGTTCATTATATCATGGTATTGGTCAATATTTAATCTGGTAACATTTCTGGGTACAAATAAGTGGACATGACAATATTGTTCAAATAGGTTCCCTTCACCTTTTTCCTATGACATGCATTGTCAACTTAGATTATGACTCTGCAGGCTAGAACTTTCACACATTTCATTCAAGTAGAATGTCGAAGACTTTGCAAGTGAAAGAATAAAAAAGTTGAAATCCTATGTCTTTATTGATACAACAGTTTCTAAAATACATCTAAAGATATTTAATAGAAGTTTTAACAAGTCAATACTGTGTATATATAAACACATTCACCATGTAGCAATATCAGATATAAAGTTTACAATAAGAGAATGAAAAGTAATGTATCTTTTATGCAAACGATAAATTGAACGTGTAACATATTTACCAACACACTTATAAACTGCTATATTTTCATTTTCGATAGGAACATATTTTTTGCAACTGAAGTGATGTTTAAATATATTATTCCTATACAACATTTCTTAAAGAGATAGGACAAATACAGCGTGCTTGCAACAGTAAGGACATATAGGCAACAGTAACAATTTACTGTTGATTTGTTTCTTTGCGTGGAGATATGTGCTTGAAGGTGAGAGAGAAAACATTGACTTTGAACAATGCTGTGGAACGTACATTCAGTATTTAATACTACTATCAAGTTTGAATCTTTGAACGTAGTAACTTATTTTGAAACAGTCTAAGTAACTACACTAACAGTCTAGACAACCTTTCAGCATTAGACAATAATAGAAGCACCTGTCAACATCACGAAAACAAGGCACTTCTTTGATATGCATAATGTACAAGAACTGAGAAACTTGACAGCCCAAATCCTTGTTGGTTCTGACGACATTACTTATTACAAAAACAGATAAAATGTTTCTGTTACTGTCCGCACTCCGAACTGTCCCTGAAGAGCGGTATAGATGAAAAATTAAGTAATCGTGATGCCTTCCAGGTCAAACTCATTCATTATATATGGTAGTAAGTCAACATGGTGGAAGACACAATGATATTCCTAAATATACGCCAAGAAATAAGTTAAGCACAATCTATTCTTTATTGTCATACATCCCGATTTTTTTTGTCTATCTGCATGTGCCATTAATCTTGTTTTTTTCATACGTGTCCAAGATACCTCCGATATAGTTGGTACAAGAACTTTAATGGCAACAATTAGGTCTTATCACATGACACAAACCAGCAGAAGAAACAATTGAAACGGTTGTCAAATAACTGTTACCATTACAAAACATGATATAAGATAATCGATTCCGGTTCGTGTATTTCGATATGACACTTTGTAAATGAAAGTAATTGTTTTTGTCATAAAATTAAAGAAGAATACAATAAAAGAATTCTATCAAACCATGACTCTTTTATATTTGACTGTGCATTAACTAACTTTAAGCCATTACGATGACGTCACACTATTGTTGTTGCAGTTGGTTCTGATTTCAGTGGCCATTCTGAAGGTGCATTTTAACAAGTAACACTGGGGCAACTATACGTCTTTATGTAAAACGGTAGAGAAATGATATATCAACCATAACCAGGGTAGTCAAGTAACTTTTACAATTGAGCAGTTACAAAACCCGTCATCAGATAATCGATTTCAGTTTCTTTATATCAATATGAGTGACTATCGTGATTTTTAAAAAATGAAATATGAAAACTATAAAATTTAAACATAGTCTGTAGGTGTTATATTGTTTGTTTGTTGTTTTACGCCTCACTCAGCAATATTCCAGCTATATGACGGCTGTCTGTAAATAATCGAGTCTGGACTAGACAATCCAGTGATTGACATCATGAGCATCAATAAACGGAATTGGGAATACGATGACATACATCAACCAAGTCAGCCAGCCTGACCACCCGATCCCGTCGCAAGCTCCGACGTTCAATACAGTTTGGCCCTCACTCTATGAAGGTTCACACTCCAAAGAACTCACACAAAGTGAAAGTCAGTTCTTAAATATTGGGGAAGATAGAATATTTATGATTACGTGTTGAAAAATTGAAGTTGAAGGACAGCAAATTAATTCCTGGCACTTCATATTCCTGTTCTTGATTTTGGGGGTAATATGCCCTATTTAACTGCTCACGAGGCATACATATCTATACACTCACCACAAAGGCCGCACATGGAGGCACAGTTGGTCTGAGCCCATGCTTTATACAGGGTACATGTTGACAGGCCGTACTCTTTACAGTTAGAGATCTTGTCAACGCATTGATGCGAGGGCACAGTGTGCGTTACGGTGAAGGGATTGTGCGGAATAACGAAACCTGGGAATATAAAGTGGATCAATAACAAGGAAATATTTATATCTTGATCTTATGATTAATTTCATAAATGGAAATACTTTCAGGAAAGTTCTCTCCTCTCTTTATCCTGACATAATACTAACGTTCAGTTAGTTATTCGCAAAAATGTTCCTACCTTTCTTATTGCAGTATCCACAGGTATTGGCACAGTTAAAGCTTGCCCACTCCTCGTACTGACCGCCACACCCCCAGCCCTTGAAATCCTCGCAGAAGGAAAGGTGGTCAGAACAGGTGGCTTGCCGGATTTGAAATGGCGCTGGACAGAAATGTATCCAATATTGCATATTGCTGTACGTGTACACTCCGTTATAGTGCGTGTGCGTGCGCGTGTGTGTGTAAAACGATACATCTTAAACCGTCACGGCCTTCTTGATAGGTGCTTTATAGGGTTATGATCCAATTATGATAATTTGAAACAATATGGTTTTTTTAACCCCAGGAACAGATTGTAGTGTTTCTTGCTGCTCATAGCAATGTTGTCACTGTTTTTATTACTTGGGGAAACAATAACCGCGAACACTGTAGATTAAACTTTTGACCTTGGACTTTAAATAGTATTTCTTTCATTGTTGTGGTTTTGATGCTCATCGCCATATGTCTTACCTGCTACAGAGATGTCAACCAAAAGTATAGCGACTACGAAAACTGCAACAACAAAAATGGATTTATCAAACCACAATCTACATTTGTGGGAAAAGTCGAATCAAAACGGTTATATCAGATTCCATTCAATTTCTAAAATATTCTTCATAAGAAATCCTCATTGTATACATGTTATCTTTCAAAACGAATAAATAAAATCAGTAAATAATGGAAACTTTGGTGAAAAAATAGGTATAGAACTACATACCTTAAAACTTTATTCATTTATTACCATAACTGTCCAGAGAACTTACCATGTACTATGTCACACGAGAGCATGTTGACCTTGGTTTGAACCAATGATTAAAGCTGATGTGTCGGCGTTGACTATATTTCAGGTGGGTGATAGGGAATATGATAAGACCGCCAACGCATGTTTGAGTTGTGTCAGCCAAGTAATGTCTACACCTCTGACCTAGCAATATATAATGTTGTTGTACACATTGAGTGTAACCAGAACACATTCTTCACCACTATACCAGATGAGGGGAGGTATCCAAGAGGGAGATATGATGAGTTGTTTCGCTGAAAACTCGTGTTCTATTCATTGCTTATGAACAATGAAACATATTTTCCATACATTTCCATGATATCTACTCACTGTCTACTCGGGGTATTCTGAATCTGACGGAAGAAAACGTTTATTTGCGACCCCTGTCCCGATAATACTGCCATGCTATAGAACGAAACACACAACTGTGATCACTCACTCACTTCACGAATACCCAGAATCGAGGTATTTAAATCTCTTATAACTTTTGTTTGTATCTCTATACGCATCGGCAATTGTCCTTAAAATGCATATTTCAACACAAAATAGTTTATGGCCCAAATTCACTGTGTCATTCAGTTAAGCATTTGATATGTGATGTTATTTCTAAATGTAATATAGACGTAGAACATTTTGTGAACAGTCAGTACTTTATGGTTAAGGAATGGACTTGGTCTGGTTCCCGAGATCTTGTTCACGACACCACTCATACTGTTTATCTGTTAATGTCTTATCTCAACATTCACGTCAACTATTATAATAATCAGAGTGAGAAACTACATGTAGTATTCCACCAGAGGTTGTTGATTCGCATTGGTGTAAATAATAACAGCAAAACACATTTCCGTTATCCTCAGAAATCTCTGCTGAAAGCAGAATCAAATATCGTTCGATTCCTACTGTATCACCAGCTTGTGTTTATGAATCATTCACAAATACTGATGATACCAGGTGTTCGCGCAAAAGTGAACGTATCCTGCCCCAACTGTAGCACCCGTCACAAATGCATCCAATGGCAAGTCAATTGTTCACCTGAAAAAAAGGACTTGTTTGTCACTGATGCGTCAAATTTGGAAATGTCGTCCACATGTCTACCATAAAACCTTTTGGACCTTTTGAACTTTTGAGCAAGAGTTTTATGACGCTTTTTGAAATCTTGGTAGAAAGAGCATGCTTAACTGTACCTAAAAAATTGTGAAATGTAGACACCAAAGGCTGGAGCTGCTGGAATATTTTTCGACGTAAAGGGACTCTTGACTATTGAAGTCATCCCTGGCCTTTAGTCACACAGTCCTGCGGAGAGTTTGTGAATCTCTGTGTATAGATCTAAATATGAAACAGATGAGGTTGTTTCACTGGTCATTTCCAGTTAAGGCCTTCAAGATCTCTCGCGGGGGCACGGGTGGCCCAGTCGTCAAAGGCGCCGCGATTCGCTGTGCAGAGTTGCGTCCCTTAGGCACGCCAGACACCTATGATTGTGGGTTCGAATCCCGGTTCGCCCCGATTATGTTACTAGGTTTGTCAGCACCATACCCGTGCTCGTGGGTTTCACCGTGGTAAACGTCTGAGACCTGCATCACTTCGGGCTTTCCTCCCACATTAAGCTGACACGCCGTGATATAACTGGAATACTGTTAAAAGCGGCGTTAAACCCAACTCACTCACTCACTCCAGTTCAGTTTGGTTAATCAGTGGAAGGGAATTGGCTATTTGACCATTACTGAATGATATCGGATGAAGTTTAACCTCTTGACCCAATATCCTTGTTTTAATGTTGCCAATCCGAGCAGACATTGCTATTCATGTGCATAAAGAAACAGATCAACACAAAGGGTAACATAATGGGTGCCATTGCCTAATTCTTGCCTCGACGTCATATCGCAAAATTTAACACAGATGACATCAACGAGGAAGTCCAGCACCTAACAAATTGTTCTGTTTGCTTCTATTTTTTGACAATTTATACTGATCCCATTAAGGTGGAGCTGTAAATATATCTATGGTCACAACGATTAGTAACAAGTGTCCGATAGAACAAGGAATGAAGCGTTTCCTTAAGTTTGTTGTGTGGGATAGTGGTGAACAAATTGTCTTTTGTTTGTTTGTTGTTGTTTTGTTATTTAACGCTGCTAAATGTATTCTAACCCTGGATCTTCACGGGCCAGCAATATATCTCTCTTTGTATGGATTATATGGAGCGTTTGTATCCAGTACAAAAGAGGAATGGACATGTCTTCAGGTTTTGGAATAAAGTAAAAAACTGATACTTCTGACGCGTGATTTTGGCAGATTTCATCCTCAGTTAACATACTGACCTTATATATTTGGTATTATCATTTAACTTAAGCATTTATCCATGACATAAGCTTATGACATAAAAACATGTATGTCATACCCCAATGACATAAGTATGCAAATTAGATATGCAAATTAGATAACCGGAAGAGCGAGCGGTTTGATTTGAAACTATATATTATAAGTGAAGTTACACCAGAGATATAATCAGATTACACAGAATCGTTGTTGTTACCGTTATTAAAGTTTCAATTATTCTGCAAAAGTCTGTTCAAGTATTTTGTTTAAAATAATCCGAGGAACTTTTTTTCTCAGCGAATTGTTTATTTTGGTTTACATGGCTATGGAAAACATGTATCACTACGCACGATCTATACGTAAGATTTCGACAAGTTGCTGATGTTAATGTTTAATGCAATTATTCCTTAATTTGGAAGCAAAAATGTGAAAATGATAAATAGAATTCATCAATCGTGTTTTTTAATATGGAAAATATCAACCTCGTCCCGTTAATCGGTATTTGCCTCGCCAAAGGCTCGGCAAATACCGATTAACTAAGACTCGGTTGATATTTCCCATATTAAAAAACACTCGCGATGAATCCTCTATTTATTTAATACCTTATACATTATAAGTTCTTTGATCAAACAATTAATGCTTACATATGATGGTTATGTTATCTGAGGCCTTGTCAGTGGGAAGCTGGCTGGTACAGAATGGGTTTATTCAAATTCTGCAGCTGTTTCCTGTTTTTTCAGCTTGTGCATTCTAAAGATGGTTAAAATTTGTTAAAGCTGCTTGAACTACTTAGTATATGTCACTGATGTCACGGTGTGATAAGTAAGTGACAGAGGTAAACACTAAGTGGCTCAGGTTGGTTGTACCTGTGGATACAGTGTTGACAGATCAAGGATAAACATAGGCATGAATCTTGGATTTGAAACCCAGCGGATCCGTACCGTCACACATGAAGAAGTAGTTGGGTAAATTGTAGTTTATTTGTGCTGACTGATACATGTAAAGGGAAAACAAAACACAAATGGAATCAAATTACTTCTCATTGTACCGGTGTCCCTCGGTGTCGTTGGCTAGACGCCAGTCAGTCACACATCTGAAAAATCCACAAAACAAAGAAATAATAGGTATGTATATGTTATTTTACATTGGCATATATAAATGATTTCAGGTTAATCCATCCATACGGCATGTTACACTGATTGTTGTATCCCGTATAACGGTAAGAAAATGGCGGGGGGGGGGGGGGGGGGGGGGGGGGGGGACTCGCTGACTTTGTTGATGTATGTCATCGATCCCAATTGCGTGGATCGATGCTCATGATATTAATCACTGGATTGTCTGGTCAAGACTCGATTATTGACAGACCGCCGTCATATAGCTGGAATATTGCTGAGAGCGGTGTTAGACAACAAACCAACCAACCAACCAATTACTACTGTATATAAGCCGCATATAAACTTGTATTAAGTAATATAATTTAATAGACTCAAACTTCTATTCATATTCTTGGATGTTGCATTATATCAAACAAAGCAAACAAGACATTTATCAATGTAAAATTAACCATCAGATGGCCGCCTATTCACAGATTCCCTCACCAATCCCACCAACTCTTGTCAGGACAACTAAGAAAGCTACGGCGACGCAGTATGTACATCAACTGGCCCCAAAACACCTGTGCATATACGTGTCGACTATGTGGTAAGTGAGACAGTGTCAACTTGAAATAGCTCGTAATACGGGGCAAAATGCACGAGGCCTTTACTCTCTCTCAATATATAATATAATATTCGTTAAAGTTTCAAAAATGCAAATCCATTGTAGGTTTCACAAACAAATGTGAAGTAGTAAAAATGTTTGGTTAAGCTCATAATTATATATGCAGGTTACTATTTTACGCATGTTGATGAAAAGAACATACCAGGAGATTTTTAGATTATGTACTCATTGTTATTTGAACGAGGTTAAAGATGAATATCACGTCTTGTTAGTTTGCTTTAAAGATCGATCTTGCCCTTCAACACCAATGAAGATATGAGAACAACACTTGCGAAACCGTAAAGAGGTGGGGCAGAAATGATCCAGAGAAACAAAGATACGACGATGACCGAGTGTCTACATTCCATTATCACAGAAACTTTGGCAATGAAGAATCAGCTCCTTGGGTTCCAAAGCTTCTGACATCAGATAAAAATTAATCTCGCTTAAATCACAGCAAGCCACAAGTAACTCTCCAGTAGGAGGGCCAAGATGGGCTATCTCATAAACGTTTCGTCTTTTTTCGTGGCCTTTGCCATACAGGCAGCCCGACCAAACGCGTGCTTATTTGGCAACGTTGGTGTCGAGACTGCTGCATGGAAACATTGACCTTGACCTGTATATGATATTCTTCATTCACAGGGGTGTTGGGATAGTCTAGTTGCAAATGTGAAGGTCCGTCATGCTTAGGGTTGATTCGGTGTGGAATACTCATGCTTACCGTAAAAGGCGACTATGCTTGTTGTAAGAGGCGACTAACGGGATCGGGTGGTCAGGCTCGCTGACTTATGCATGTCATCGTATCCCAATTGTTTAACGCCGCACCTGGCAATATCTCAACCATATGACGGCGGTCTGTGAATAATCGAGTCTGGACCAGATAATCCAATGATTGATATCATGAGCTTATGGATATCCAGGCAATATGGATACGATGGCATGCATTAACCAAGTCAGCAAGCCTGACCACCCGATCCCGTTTGTCGTCAAGAGTGCAAGAAATACACTGAACTGGCCAAAACAGAAATAGCCGTCATATAGCTGAAATATTGCTGAACGCGGCGTCAAACAACAAACAAACAAACAGAACTAAAACTTGGTTAAAAAACTAGAGTGCATTTTCAAAGTATGTTTTTGCAACATATTGTGCAATATGAGTTCAAGTATGATTTGTTGAAAAGGGATGGTGTTTTAACTAAGTTCGCTAAGTCTGCGCGATATATCCTCATACGAGAGTGAAACAAATAATAATGCCGTCGGCGGTTCACTTGCTGTGATATTACTAAACGGCATAAAACCACACTCAACCCCATATTCCCATTTCAAATTAATCTGTTCATTCATATAATTTCCACAGTTATTTGCCCATTACGCCAAGTGGAATCTGTTTCGGCAGAAAATCTAGACTGGATATTCTCTTGCATTGAAAAGCTCTATTTACTCACGTACATTATCGTACATATTGCAAGACGGAAATTTGAGTCACCATGCAGGCATCTATACACGCAGATGGGAGATTTATTAACAATACTATCACGAGTTGAATTTGGCACTGAATATTCATGAGACTGTGTGTGGTAATAATCCCTGACATAATATCGTGCCACAAAACTTACTTTTAGATAGTCATTTGTTTGGGCACAATTGACGGTGGTTCCCCAATATAGTCATGCACACATTCCTTGAAGAGCACAAAAACAGTAAACAACAACAAGGACATATTGGTAGCAGTCAGACACTTGATGCTGATTTTTTTCCCATGTATCTATATGTATCTATATACTCACCACAAATGTTGCACATGGAAGCACAGTTGACCTTAGACCAATCTTTATAACTGCTACAAACATTCAAGCCGTAGTCCTTACAGTTGGAGATCTTGTCATCGCATTGATGCGAAGTGTATGGAATAACGAATCCTGGGAATAAAAGAAAGGTTAATATCAGGAATTAATGTTTTCGTAACCTTTTAATTAATTTCATACATAGTAATGCTTCGTAGTAGTATGGAATTATGTACATGTATATACGAGGGCTGGTCAAAAGGTCTAAGCCTGAGTAGATTTCAACTTTGGGCCATAACGAAGTGAACTAGTCAGTATAGTACATTGTCCGAGCAGTTCATTGCAAGTGTATTTGGTCTGTTGAGGCCGTTTGTATATAATTGACAGTCAGCTGAACGTAATAGGGGTCCAAATAGACACAGAAATGGAAAGGAACGAGTACCGAGCAGTCATCAAGTTTTTCACTTTAGAGAAAAGAACTCCCCAAGAAATTCATGACCGCATGACACAAGTGTATGGGGATAAGTGCCCTGCCTATTCCACTGTTGAACGTTGGGCGGCTGTGTTTAAGGCTGGGAGAACAAGCCTTGATGATGACCCTGGGTCTGGACGTCCCTTAACTCCCATCAATGAAGATTCAATATATGACGTTGTGACGTCATATGACACAGTGCCATACCCTTGGTGAAGGTTATATTTTATTGTATATATCTTTGTTGGTATGCACTCAAATACTGTGCTGTGTATAAATAGAGAATCTCACCAGAGTGTCTTTTGATATTAAATATATCACAGCACGAGTTGAAAAAGTGGAAAAACTCCGAGGCTTGCTCCGAGATGTCAAAAGACACGAGGGTGAGATTCTGTTTATCATCATACATTATTCTTCCAGCTTTTTCCGTTTGTAGTTATAAGCAGTGTCGTAAGTGTAAAACCTACTGCTAACAGCTTTAGTGGGAGCCAGTAGTTTTGGATGATAAATGTAATTATCACCACTCCCCCACTATATATGACCTATATTTGTCAGTTTATTTAATTAAGATTGATCAAAGTAACTATGTGATCATTTAAAATTCTAATATTTGTTAATAAGTTATATTTGTAATGTTCTATTTGTATGGGTAGGTTTTTTGCATGTTTTAACTCTGAGTATTTATTTCCACAGGGCCTTCATTCATTTTTTGCATATAATAAACAACTGTCATCTGAACCACAACCTACGTTTGTGTGATATATTCCAGAAACCATTCAGGTTACACTTTTACGAATTTTTCTCTTTTCTCTATATCGTGCCCTAAAATATAGGTGCAGTTGTTATTCTTTTGAACAAAACTGGTCCTACCGTTGTTATCGCAATATCCACATGTCTTGGCACACTTCATGTGTGCCCACTGCTGGTACTGGCCACCACAACCCCATCCCTTGAAGTCCTGGCAGTTAGAGATGTGGTCGGCGCAGGGGGTGCCTCCCTGGGGTGGAACTGTAGCTGGGGGGATATTTAAAACTATGGCACTATATCCAATATTGCTGTGGGTTACAGTTAGTATAGTGTGTGCGTGCGCGTGTGAGTGATTGTGTGCGTGTGTCCAATGCTGTTTAATACCCTACCACGGATATCTTGATAACCGCGTTTGAACAGTGTTGCGGTACGATTATGATATAATACAACACAGATCATGTGACAAAATAAATTCATTTAACCTAAAAAACATAGAGGGGCGTATTTTACTGCTTGTGGCAATGCTGTCACTGTTGCGGGAATCAATCAGAAAGAACTCTATACATAACACTTTAGACTTTGGGTTTTTAATGAGTATCTCATGCATTATTATGATTAGAATTACACTGTAGTTATCCCGATATATGTCTTACCTGCTACAGTGATGTCAACCAAAAAAATACCGACCACGAAAACTGCAACAAAAAAGGGTTTTTCCAAACCAGAATCGACATTTGTGGGAACTGTCTAATCAAAACGATTTTATCAGAATCCGTTCAAATTCTACAAATCCTCAATTTATTCATGTAATCTTTCAAAATTAATATGCGTGTACAAAATGATTGAATGATAAAAATTGGGAATAGAACTTAATACCTTAAAACTTGGAATTTATTACCATTATTACTGTCGTAGGAACTTACCATGTACTATATCACTGGAGAGCATATTGCACCTTGGTGTGAACAAAATGTGTAAAGCTCACGCGTCAGTGTTGACTATATATACAGGTGGGTGACAGGAAATATGATAAGACCGCCAACGCAGATGAGAGTTGTGTCAGCCAATAAATAAAGCGACAAAACCCTTTCCATATCCAATAGAAATCTCTGCATAAAAGAGAGTCGATTGTACGATTCCGACTATATCATGAGCATGTGTTTATGAATCACTATAAAATAGTAATGATACCAGGTGTTCGCGAAAAGGTGAGCATATCGTGCCTCACCGGTGGCACCCGTCACAAACACATGCAAAGACAAGTCAATTCTTCACCTGAAAAACACGGGACCATATCTATCCTTCCCTTGTCTACCATAAATCATTTTGCAAGCTTTGCTGAGGCCTTGCATGGTGTAGCCTTGATCAAACAACTTCTGAGCTAGTATGAAAGAGCATGCTCGATTGTATCTCAAGAGTTGTGAAATGTAAACACCAAATGCTGGTACTGTTGGACCAAGTATTGTCTAAATCTTTAACCTAACGATGTCGCTGTCCACACTGAGCGTCTTCCAGAACATATTCTTCACCTCTATACTAGTTGAGGGAAGGTATCCAAGAGGGAGATGTGTTAGCTGGTCACGTGGGCCACCTGGGTCCTATTCTCCGTGTATATACGATTTGTGAAACACGCTTTGCATCCATTATCATAATATTGTCTGCTCTTACAAAACTCAAAATAAAAACCTAATCACTGTCTCAATCTGTCCGGGGACACGGGTGCCCGAATTCCCTGAGACCCCGCGGGCACACCAGAAATATATGACCGTGGGTTCGAATCTCGGTTCGTCCCGATAATGTTTCTAGGTTTGTCAGATATGGGAATTAGGGACAAATTTTAAACTTGCCTTACCCCGGACATACATTGGAAGGATTTTAATGTTTCATATTGTACTCAAACACAGAATGTTCTATCTTTGTACATGTGTATACAAAAATATGTTTGACAAATGTTCTTTTAAACATAACTTTGCATTTATGACATGCATGTGGATGTAAAACCTTGTTCTTGTCGTTATATTGCTGAAATAATGCCGATGCGACGTTATATTTTAACTCACACTCAACCCACATTTTGAATCAAAGGAAATATGTTTCCTTTCACATCGGGGGCACGGGTGGCCCAGTCGTCTAAGGCGCCGCGACTCGCTCTGCAGAGTTGCGTCCCTTGGGCACGCCAGAAACCTATGATTGTGGGTTCGAAAATTATGCAAACGTTGTCAGATTGAACATGTGAGATTCATTCAAAATGGTTGTATAATGTAGTTAATCTGTCTTCTAATCTATACCAGTAAATAGTTTACTGAAACAGCTCAACATAAAAACTGGTCTCTATGAAACGGGATCCATAAGGTTATCAATTTTCTTCAAAATGGGTTTAATAATACCAGTTAGCCCCGATTACTGTGATATGTCAGTTTCGAGTTCAGCATTAAAAATACGACGAAGAGAATAAATGTTATCTCAGAAAAAGGTCCTGGCGTTTTATTGCGTTTTAGTTTTTGAAACGCTGCTATAACCTCGTCTGATGTAATTTAAACATGGCGTAAAATGTCACCATATTCTAGAATATCGAGGTCGAAATCTGGCAATGCGCTATCTTCAATTCTATTTTCGTTTATCATCGTCACCTGGGGGCACGGGTGGCCCAGTCGTCTAAGGCGCCGCGATTCGCTGTGCAGAATTGCGTCCCTTGGGCACGTCAGAAACCTATGATTGTGGGTTCGAATCCCGGTTCGCCCCGATTATGTTTCTAGGTTGTCAGCACCATACCCGTGCTCGTGGGTTTCACCGAAGTGGTAAACGTCTAAGACCTGCACCACTTCGGGCTTTCCTCCCACATTAAGCTGACACGCCGCGATATAACTGGAATACTGTTAAAAGCGGCGTTAAACCCAACTCACTCACTCACTCACTCACTATCATCGTCACCTATTACCGTAAGGTCGATTTTCATTTTAACAATTTGCAATTTCACTTTGAGATCATCATTTGCTAATATGCTTAGTTTCTTTCATGATATATTTATAGGTTTTTTTACAATCTTTGCTTACTTTACGTTAAAGAGCTTCTGTGGCTTCTTGATACTTTAGAAAATGGTTTCGGCTTTTTAAAAAATGTGTTTACGTCTGTATTTACATTCAGAGCCAAATCAAGGTTTACTACAACAAGGCTGAATGTCACTTACCTTACTTGGAACATGTTCTCCGTGCTGATTCAGTGGGCCTGTTCATGCATGATGGCCTTGAACCTCCCGCAGTGACAAATCTTTCAGACTCAGACTGTTTACATAATTATCTGCAATGTTTCCTATAAATTCATCAACCTTGCAATATTCAAATTTGCCCGGTTTACTTTAATGTTGTTGGCATGGTTGTAATCTGGTTCTATCCTAGAGACTTGTCATTCAGTACATGCAGGGTAAAATATACTGATCTGTGTACACTGATAATAAAAGGCAAAATTCTCCTTTTTCAAAATGGGAGATCATAGGAAGGGCCATTACATAATTACACAATCTATTGTGCCGGTATCTTTGCAAGTAGTTTTGCCATGAAATCTATCTGGACCAAATCTACCATTACAAATACACACTTTGGCATGTTTCACTCAATCTAACTCCATAAGTATTTGGTTTCAGTTGTGACCCGGAAGTGTTTATCCTAGCATTGAAATCCCCAGTGAGAATTTGTGTATCCGTGTTGGATGAGATATCAGTAAGAATCCCTTACACTAATTTACCAACCTGGACTAGAAATAAAAGACAGCAATGCAACCACCCTATCTGTTTCATATTAAGATATATGAATAAAGATTCAAGGTGACAGAAAAACAAGTCCACAAGACCGTTTGATAAGAGGGATGGCTTCAACTTTCTAAGCGTGAACATTCTCTTTGTGTCGAGCAATATTCCAGCAGATCCATCCATTCGTTTCTCAATGTCACAGCTTAATGGGGGTACATTCGAGCCCGATCTTTCTGTCAAGATTTCAAAGAGCGTCTTACAGCTATTGCTCAAAAGTTGTGTGATCAAGATTACATCATTCAAAGCCTCTGTAAAGTTTTCAAAACGTTTTATAGCACACACATGGACACATAAGTTCCCTTGTTTTTGTTGTTGTTCAGGAGAGACTGACCTGCCTTTGCATGTGTGACCGGTGCCACCGGTGGGTACGGATACGCTCATCTTTGTATACTCACTATTTGATAGTGATTCATAAACACATGCCCATGATATAATCGGAATCGTACAATCGACAGAGGCTTCTAATGAATATGAAATATGAATATGGAAAGGGTTTGTCGCTTTTATGTTAATACATTGGAACATGCCATAATTTGAGAGTCTATAACCTTCTCAGGGTAGGTATGCTACTCCTAAGTACATATCCTGGGTCAGGTTAAACATACACCCTGCTATTTTCACCCACTTCAGTTTCCTAGTCGTGTAAAGTTGCATATGCATATCAAGGAAAAACTTCGCGCAGAGTACAAATGTAACTTTAGAAATCCGGAGCTCACAGCTGAAGTCAAAGCCACAAATACTTATGCTGTACCCGTCCTTTCGTATTCTTTTGGTGTTGTTGATAGGAAGAAACAAGAAATTCAGGGTACTGATACCCTCACACGAAGAATAATGTCAGACAATAGATCCCACGACCCACCCACCCAGATCCCAACACCCACCCACCCAGATCCCACCATCTCTTCCCTCAATCGCTTATATTAACCAATATTAATTGGAGGACGTAGTTGATTAACGTGGAGTCTCTTCATGAGAGAATTGTATTGTGCCCTTTTTCACACATTTATTTGTCTGATGAAACTCTTGTGAAACATGTCAAGATTCATGATGAAAACAAGACATTCTACAGTTTTCTTAAACGAGCCAAGGATGTGGGACATAATCTCAATGTCAATGTTGATTTTGTTGATAGTTCTACACTGCTGGACGGTATAAGAGAAGTGCCATATCAAATCAGCCCAGACAAGTAGAGGCTATCTGAACGCCCACTGCATCGAGTTGAGGTGCAGTGTGTTGAGAAGATCAGCAACCCCGCTTCGCTTGGATGAAGTCGGATGGCCTGAAAATTGAAACGGCAGAAGACTATTCTGTTTGCTTGTCAGAACGAGTCACTTCCCCCTCGGAACTGTCAGTGTGGGACTTTGCATCAAAATGTAAATGACAAATATATACTAGCCACATTAAGAAACTGTGCACGGAGAAAATATAGATATAAGGGCACACCGTCCATATATGAAATATAGGTTTGAACACAGCAATTATTGGAGACATTCAAACGCTCATGCACGTGCCATGCGATATGACGTCATTGATGGGGGCCTATGGACGTGCAATGTGTTACTGCACGTGCATCCTGTGCAGCTGTACACAGCATGTGCAACTCAAAATTCGCTGTCACTTTGGAAAGCATGATCTGTGGTCATTCAAAAATTCAAAACTTCTCAGGCGCAGACACAAGCATAACACAAGCAAATCATGCCAAGATTGACAGCTGCACAGCGTCATGAAGCCATTGGAATGATCCGAGCGGGAATGAGGCAACAACAGGTGGCAACACATTTCCAATGCCATCGTAACACGATATCGGCATTGGTGAGGCGTTATCACAACACAAATGACGTTGCCGACCACCCACGTTCAGGACGTCCCCGAGTAAAGACGCCAAGACAGGACAGATGGATTCGAGTTACACATCTCCGACACAGGTTCCAAACGGCAGTAACGACGTCCCAGACAATACCTGGACTGCGCCGTATCCATCCCAACACTGTCAGGAATCGTTTACGTCAGTACGGGATTCGACCACGACGCCCTGCCATACGTCCCATCCTGACACACTGTCATCGAGTCAACCGTCAAAGGTGGTGTCGAAATCATGTTCGCCAACCTCGAATATGGTGGAGAAATGTTGTCTTTACAGATGAATCGAGGTCAAACATTTCCCACAGTTACGGGCGCCAACGTGTCTACCGGCGTTTGGGAGAACGTTATGCACGCAA